TTAGTCAAACTAGGAAACCTTAGTAGAGTAGAGAAGTGTTTGTTGAACTTCTTGCTATAAGTGGAAGTAAAGGATGTCCATTTACTATGTTAAAAATTTGAGACTGAGCAAGTATAAAAATTTTATTTACTCAAACAGTAAATATGCTGCTATATCTAACCAGAAAAGAAGGGGGAAAGTCCACAAGACAAAATAAAACTTACGATAAAGGATCCGAAAGAACACTTCTGAGTGATGGTTCCTTATTTAAATTGTCTCGAGTGACCTGCTGATCCAGACAAAGAATGAGATGTCTTCTTATGTTGTATGCAGATCAAGATATCCATTGTCCAATTCATGTGGTATGCAATGAACGTAAAGAATATCTAACATCAACTGCTTTTATTTGCATCACAAGGGGGAAAAAATCACTTTTTTATGCAATTAGAAAACATGTGTTATGTACGGAAGAGTATATCCAACTGAAGCTTCATCCATATCAAAAGACAAGGCTATCCCAGGCCTAGTATGTAAAGAAATAGACAAATTTAGAACTTATGAATTGATATTTCCTTTTTTAAGATTGTCTCGAGCCACATGTTGGTCTTGACCTCGAATGAGATGTCTTCTCTTCTCCTAGAATGAGATGTCTCTTCATGCAGAACTCAAATGAAGATATTCATCCTCCAGTTCATGTGAATTGATCAGCAGACAAAGAACTTAATCTTCCAGTGATTTACACCCATCACAAAAATATATTTCAATTTTTCGTCTGATTATTATCCAAGGAAGAATATTCGTCCAAATAAAGTTACATATGTAGCAAGAGAGAAGTATCCCCATGCCCAGCATGCAAAAGGAGAGAGACGTTGAAAGAGAAAAAGTGACTTGGGAGACAAAAGCCCCCTAGAAAGTGTCATGTTTTTGCTGAGTGACTACACCTGAATCATGCTTAACACTAGATGCTCATGTGTAATGAAGCTGTTGAAGACAACTGTTTTTAAACTTCTTTGGGATGTACTGAGTCGCCTAGCACTGTAAAAGAAACTTTTTGAGGATGGACTGGTTACAACATCATGAACAGGATGAAAGAGCAGTGGATTATCCTTCTTGTGGTATGCTTGGTGCTAGGGAGAGAAAGAACCAGAGGTGCTTTCAAGGGAAAGCCACACTAGTACAGTTTCTGAAAAAGTACCTTAATGTTCTAGCTCTCTGCTGGTGTAAATTAATAGATGCAGATGATGAACATAGTTTCATTGACGTCACTAGTTAATTACAGGGAGAAAAATGATTGTTTAAGGGTGTTTTGCAACCAACACATTCTTAGTGCTGGCTTTTGCCATGTTAATGAGATATTTTGTGCACTGATCGAGAAAAAAGTTGATAAGAAAAAAGGAAGAGATTTTGATTATGAGGCACTCGCATCTATATTGATTTTTTTTTTTACATTTAAAGCTTCATGTGGATGTAAATCCATAGCTTACTTCAAGTCCATCTAAATTGAAATTTACTCAGCACAAAACCAAAACAGACCCCAAAGCATTAAAACTTAGCAGAAAAACTGTGCCATTGACTTCAAGAAAAACAATTTGATCATATGTAAAGAAATACTACTTACATAAGCATTATCAGTATTACTAAGCATGTCTTCCTCAGCAGAAAGGTCATCCATAAACTGGCTTACAGAAATTGGCACGTAGCTCTGAGGAATAACATGACCAGCAGCTGCAATCGGAGAACAATCCAGTATCGCATTGCTCTGAGGTATAAGCCTAAATGCCAGGGATGTCCTACAAGATGTAGCTCTACAGCTCAATAATTGAGTAAAACTGAAAATTACCCTAGCAACAATTTAAAATCTCTACAACCAATGTCACTACCTTCCACCACAAACAGTGCCCACATAGTTATCAGCTGCACCCCTGTATACGGCTGCAGGACGAAGGCCGGCGGTAGCATGGCTGAGAGCCTTACCAGTAAGCAATAGTAAATCCCCAGGGCTCAAGCCACTATCTGCTAGATACCAACGACCATTGGGATCACAAACCTAGGGATAAAGAAGAAATAAACAAGGAAAATGATTGATGGCACAGAGGATCCAGAAAAAGGAGTCAGAAAAGAAGTTATAATGTATTAGTTGGAAGCTATGCACAATCCAAAACTCAAACTAAAGATCTGGAATTAACAGGAATACCTGAAGACCAGAAGCATCAGATGAAATTAGTGTCAACAGCCCCTTCTCTACTTCACCATTTGCGACTTGCTTCCCTCCACCAATAGCTCCTTTCCCATTTTGAGAGGTGGTACCGGAGAAGGTTGCAACAAGAACGGACGAAGAGGCCTCATTAACGGGCAATGGATTATCATCAAGCAAGTGATCGAAAACACTGCAGAGCACGACGTGTTTGGTCAGAATCGCATTTGAGACATACAGAGGATTTGAATGATATGATAAAGCCTAAACAAAGTTCCTTACTCGCTTCGCAAACGAAGGTGCCTTGCGATTGCACTTAAAGAAGCACGAGCTGCCCTTCCCATGGATCGGAAAACTTCAGTCATGCATGGGGGAGAAGAGTCCATGTCTTCTAAAGGCCTAACACGTACGAAGCTGATTATCAAATCTTTAATCCCATAAGGAAAAGCTTGTAGCATCTAACCTTAAATTTGAGGAGAAGTTTGAGACTAATAAAATCAAACTAGACAGTCTTACAAATAACAAGAATGTACTCAAATTCAAATAGAGGAAACCTTTAAATCGTTGAGTTCAGAATAGGGGAACTGCTGAACTGCGTTGCAAGCTAACAGTCCATGGCTTTAGGTACTTTCTATCGCTTCGAGCAAGTAAAAATGGATATATTTTCTACCGGTTTCACTATATTGATTTTTAGCTTCATCATGGAGATCTCTCCTCGATATTCATATTCTTCCAACATTGTACTGACGGGGTATATAATTTAGACACAATCAAGAAAAATCACATTAGCTTCTAGTCCTTACCTTCCTGCCCTGTATATATAAACCCCACGACCACTCTTGCTACCAGTGCCGGCCCCACCATTCTGAGCTACCGCCTTCGTCTTAAAAAAATACCTAACTGACTCCAGCCCACACTGTAGAACCGCCGTGCCTTCGCCGCCGAGCTCAATCACTGCCGCGTTGTGCCGCATAAGCGATCCGGAGAGAGCCTCCACGGCTCGCAAATAAGGCCCAACCGGAGCTCCATCGTAAGGTGCAATATCGGAGAGCTTAACTCGGGCCAACGGCGGCAACCCAAGTTCTACAGAAGGCGGCCCAATTGCATGGTCCCGACCCAAAGAAAGTGGTGAAGGTGAAGGAAATTGAGTAGTAGCAGCGTTGGGGGATCTAAGAGCAGGTGGAGGAGTGGGATTGATTGGGTGTGGTGAGGGTGCAGTGGACTGATGGTGATGCTGATGCTGATGCATCATGATCATAACCATCGATCATTTCCGTATGTGCAGAAGCACTGTGTGTGTGTGTGTGTGTGTGTGTGTGTGTGTGTGAGAGAGAGAGAGAGAGAGAGAGAGAGAGAGAGAGAGAGTTGAATTAGGGTTTATGTAGTTGGAAAGATGAATCTTGTAGCTGGAGAATTCTGGAAATGGGAAATTGTTGAGATTTGTTAAAGGAAAATTTGAGAGGTTTTTGGCTGCAGAAAACTTGAAATGGAGTTGAAGCGCTGATAGTGGTGAAGAAGACGAAACTGTTCCTCTTTTGAGTTCTTTTTTGTTTCCATTCGTATTGCATTTGGGACCCAACTAATATCCTATTTGGCCAAGGTTCTTCCATCCTAAAATACTTTTTTTATTTTCTTTTCAAATTTAAGCCTTTGGTCAAGCTTTTAAAAATAAAAAAAAAATTGCTTACAAGAGAAACAAAAGCAGTTTTGAAAAAAAAGATTTTTTTTTTTTAAATTTGGTCAAACACTAATTATTACTCATAAATATTTTTTAAATTAATTAGTCAAACACCACTTGCTTATCACCAAAAGTACTTTTGAAAAAAAAAAACACTTCTCAAAATAAACTAATTTGCAGCTTGGACAAACGGGCTATAAATTCGAATTCGCCCTACAAAATCCCACATCCCACTTTTGATTATGATTCAAAATTATTTTTAATTTGAAGTTCTATTAGGACCAAAAGAAAATGAATCTTTCTTTTTTGGTAAAATATAAAATTGGTCGGTCAGCCAAACTAATAGCATTCACTATCAAAAAGTATATAAAATATATATATTATATTATATAATATACATAAATACCAAAAAAAAAAATTTACTGCTATATGGAAACGACTAAAAATATACATTTTTCTTCTTTTTTTCTAACAGAGGAAGTCGTCAACAGTTTAACGGATGCAAGATTACTTAATTTCGATCAGTAAAGGGAAAATTTGACCCTTCTCACTTTTTTCCTTAATTCTTGATAGTAATTGCTAAAGTTGACAAGTTACCATTTTGACAGTGGTAATCTCAATACTCGTGATAAATTGACAACTAGCAATCTAGCATAATACAACTAATTATGTCAGTATGAATGTTTTGGATACACAAAATCTGCATAATCGACGTGAACTAATATAACTTTGAACAAACTGCAAAAGAATTTTAAGAATCTTACTTTCTTTCTTGCATAAGTAAATATTTATAATTTTTAAGAGTATAGTGTGTACTGCTTATTGCTTGCTTCTTTCTCGTCTTTCTTGAACCAACAACATCTCTACCCTCACAAGATAGGGTAAGGTATGCGTACACAATATACTCTCCAGACCCAATATGTGGGATTATTGTTTATATAAAAAACAAGTTTAATTCAAATCTTTTGCAAACAGGGGGCAAAAGGGAATACAAATGCCACTTATCAGTGCGCCTGGCAATTTCCAACATAATGTACACTTGAGAGTAAAGATCACTCTATAACTCCTCCAACATATGAAGAATTGAATTCAGAAGAATGACTTGTTTGCAGTTAGCATAAATANGGGGGGGGGGGGAGAGAGAGAGGGTTGCAGAAGGTACAATAATACAAATGCCACTTATCAGGGTGCCTGGAAATTTCCAACATAATGTACACTTGAGAATCAAGATCACTCTATATAACTCCTCCAACACAAGAAGAACTGAATTCTGAAGAATGACTTGTTTGCAGTTAGCATAAATAGCAAAGAGTAACTCCCAGTTCGTCTTCATCTTGAGAGGACATAAGACACTTCAGATTTCATCGCAAGATCAATAGAAGTGCTCGAGGCATTTCATTAATGCCTCAGTGTGTTCAGGCTTGCCTACAGACACACGAACGTATCCCTTCAGTTCTTTGCTATTGTAGTGACGGATCATCACTCCCATTGTCGCAAGGTCCTCCTGCAACACAAGTTTTTACTGTTAAAATGTAGGAGAAACAGGAATGCATTATGGACTTGCCAACCACTTCAAAAACTATGAACAATCTTTCCGTAAACAGAAGATGATAGAAACCAGGTAGTTCGTCAAAATGCTTTTATTTAATTCATGTTCTTTAATACGTCATTCACCTTGGTGTCAAGCTTCTAACATAGTGACGTTCAAGCCAGAATGAAAAGACATGAGGCCAAATTAAACAATAAAATGAATTGGAATAGAAGAAGCGACAGAATTGACTTTACAAGAATGGAACTTAGTGATACAAGTACTTTTACCTTCAATTTCTTAGCATCCATTCCAGACGTAACCTTACAGAGAATGAAATTAGAATAGCTAGGGTATGGATCAAGAAATGGGACTTCTTTCAAGAGATTAAATAGCCTCTCTCTTTCTTGCACCAGTGCCTCTTTCACATTCTGGCACAAAAACGACACAATAATCAATGAAGATTTCAAGAAAAAGGTATGATTTTCTTCACCTATTAAAGAGATTAGAACATTTGGGCAAAGTTATTCAACAAAGCTCAATGTGAATGTTCCATATCCTAAAGTACCTCCAGATAAGCGGGATTCTTTAGTGCAGCACATGCAGCAACTTCAGCGGCAACAGACACATTATATGGTTGCTTTGCTCGCCAAAGGAATTCAATAATACTCTTTGGAAAAGCTCCATATCCTACTCTGAGTCCAGCTAAACCTGAGGATTGGGATACCACTTATATTAGTCAACTATACTTTAACCCCAAACACCCAATTATCACACCACTTGTAAATACTAATTTCGGGAATAGGAACACACTGGAAGTCTTCATTACTATTACAATTTGATTATATGACAGGACCGATTACAATTTGATTATATGACAGGACCGATTGAGATGAACATGTAGTAGCCATAAGTGATAAGATTTTGCACTAATCAGCAAAAAACAATAAGGGGCATATGGGTTTTCAAAGCACACAAGTTGAATATTTTCATACATGTTAAATAAAAAAGAATGAACATACCAGCTCTTTTGCTGAATGTGCGAAGAACGATTAGATTCTCATGCTTCTTCACCCACTTCATCTTAGACTCCATTCCAGAAAACTCAACATATGCTTCATCCAGTATTACCAATATGGGCAGATCAAGTATTTTCAATAGCGTTGCATCGTCAATTATACTGTTCAATAACAAGATAAATTGTCACATTAGAACGACAACAATTAAAGGACGTTGGTATTAAAATGTATAACGGCAAACAAAGCATAAATAATAAAAAGCCGGCACATTGGAAAGCGAGCAAATTTACTGTATAAATAGAAAATAAATTTCGATTGTCAAATTCCCTGAGGTGCAGAAAACATGCAAAAATCTGGAAAGCGTCCAGAAAAATATGTGTAACATACTATTTGATTATCTCAATAATAAGTTTCTAATCTTTGCTCATTTTTCTTCATAATTGCTAGTAGCTCCTTTCACACCAACGACGTCATTCTTTTAACTCTTTCATAAAGTGCATTAATTACTTAACTAATCAACTGTTTAAACAGTATGCTGTGCAGAACAACAATGTCTTCAAGCTACATAACTTAAACTAACACCAATTGATGAGAGCCTTCTAATCTCTTTTGAAGTCCATCAGAGTTATCCCAAAGAACAAGGCATAGACATAAACCATAAAGAAACCAAAAACACTACCCAACACAGTAGCAGGACGCATATACTGTCTTAAACAGTCACAGGTTCCCTCAGTCCAAATGCTACAGACAATTGCTACATGCACTCTTCCAAAGACCCTTCACTGATAAAAGTCATTCCAGCCGGTAGAGTATTCTTAGTCCGCTTAAGATACCAAAAGAAGGCCACTGATTATTTTGTCCTTGCAATGCACATGTCCATTTCAATACAAGTTTACAATTGCTACTCCTTGTTGAACTTAATATTGCTTATTGTGCCCAATCAGCTGTAACGCTGAGATATTATAGTCGAGGACAATACCAAAAAGACGTCTTTTTATTGGAAATAAAAAAGGCCTTTGTGTCAAGGCTATAAGCTCTAGAAACTAGTAATAGTTACCTTTCACAAAATTGGCAACAACAAATGTTTTGGGTGCAAGTGTAATCAATCTATATAAGGCTCAAGACAAGGTAAAGAATGACCTTGGCAATAAAATGGGGAAAATGGAGCAAAGAGAAATTGAAGGAAAAGAGCATTTTCGCTGGAAGGGGTGTGTAGAAGCTTTCGTTGAAAATGATGCTTCATCCAGAAATTACAAAGCCAGCATTTATGATGTGAATTACAAGAAAAGGATTTTTCGCTTCCATATTTACAGGGTGCAGTATAGAATTACTGGCTAACTTGACATTCTAGCAATAATTTCCTAGTACTCATTTTCTCCATCTCGTGGACTTAGAGAATAATGAAAAAAAGAAGAGAAGGTGCAACTGGAAGTTTTGAAGATGATTTAGCTTAGACAGGAAGAAAAGCAGAGAGAGACTCTCACAGCAGTACATTCAAGAGAAGCAAAGTACAACCACAAAGAGAAATAGACCAGAAATACAATGCAGCAATACCTCCCATCAGGATTATTAGGCGATGTCAGAAATATGCACTTTGGTTTCTCATGTTCAACCACTTCGGCAATCCGTTCTACATCCAGGCTAAAGTCTGGGTTCCTAGGCACTGCCAGTTTGACATAGCTACAGATTAACAATTATAGATGAAAGACTCAACAATAATCATCGCATTGAAGAAAATTAGAAGTATCATTTTATTTCATTTTGCTTCCATAGTTTAAAACATTGCTTTGTCTGAATGTAGAGTCTCTGGATTTTTTATTTTATTTTTATAAGGTAGAGTCTGGATTTTAATTGTACTCACTTCATTTCTCGCTTAAACTTGACATTTTCACAGTATGATATTACCAAGCAATACGTCATTGATGGGCCAATGCAACTACTACTTGTTAAGAAAACTAGAAGTCCACCAAAAGCACTTAAATAATCAACTTACGTCAACAATGTTGAAAGCTAGGATTCCAACATTCTTTGGGGTGAAAATTATTAGATTCCGGTAATTGTTTCAGTAATCAAGAAGAGCTGGTACCAAACCATAAATAGAGGTCATTAGATAATGTCAAGTTTTGGTCTTTCTGTATACCATTTATATTTCTAAGATCACTGCCAATTTTATTTTCAACCAAAGATTATTTGCAGCACGAAAACAAGTTCAAGACTCCTCTAGAAGAGGAAGGAACTAAAATTCGGTATGATAATAATAAAGAACATAAGTAAAGCTTGTATCTACCTTTGATGACATGTGCACCATTTACAGCTGCATCAAATTCATACATTGTGAAGGTGGGTGGACAGTCAAGAATCTTGTCACCAGGATCCAATACGCACCTGCAGCGGAGAACAGTTAGATATCTAAACTGTAGGTCAAACAAGGACTATATCTCAACATGCCAAATACTTAGAGTCAGCATTTAGTTAAACTTTAGATAAAAGGGTAGTCTAATCATAATGCTTACCGCATTATCAAATCAATGAGTTCATCTGCACCGCACCCAGCAAGAATATACTCAGATTCAAGGCCAGAGTCTTCAGCAAGGGCAGCACGCAAGGTACGGCTTTCAGGATCAGGATAAATATATGGAAATTTCATAGCACCCAAAGCCTCGATTACCTGAAAGAAATTCAGCAGCTTAAAATTGAGAAGGCGGAAAATAACTACACAAAAAGGAATGTCCCAAAAGAAATCTTTTCCATTAAACAGTGGGCATTGCAAAAGATACTAACTTGCCTCTGGAGGAGGGCCATATGGATTCTCGTTAGCGTCTAATTTCACAATGTCCTCTGGCTTTCTACCAAGACGAGTGGATAACACCTGTTCAATTGCAAGCAATTTTTTAGATGCAACAAGAATATAAAGAAAACATCACATTTAACAGATTATTACCAATCATGTGGTGGTTATTTATTCATTATATCCCAGATAAATGAGAAGGAAAACAGCAAGTATATCAGATTTTCACCACAGCACCTTTTCTTTATATAGCAAACACATGATTCGATCCTTAAATAGAAACCGTATATTTTCGGGAGAAAGAGAGATAGCGAGAGAACTTTACATGTCATGTCTACCAAACACAAGGAGAAAAAAGAAATGAAAATTATGAAAAATAAATTGTAAAAAGAACTTTTTCATAGCCTTTTCGCCTATAAGTAAAGAAAAAAGTATCTAGACTAGTTCACATACAAAATAGAAACATGATATAATTAATTCCTCTGTGCCTAATGATTCAAGACTCAAAGGGTCTTTACTTATATATAATTTTTCAGCCCCTACTCGGTGCTTTATTGTATAAAATTTAGCTAACTTCTCAGAAAATCATTCAAGACCCAAAGGATGATTACTGGAAATTATTGTGCCAACAAAATACATTTTTCATTAGGTAAACTTTATTACTGCAAATATCACACATTTCAATAGCAAACAGTTAGCAGCACGACTTGATATCACAAAACCTGCTAAGCTGATAAACCAACAAGTACCTACTAAATAGTGGAGAACATCTGATGTCCCTAAGGCTAAATGTAACAGAAATAGATAGACAACATAGTTAATGACAAAGATCGGATGAAAGGCGGAAGCTAAC